TGTGTGTGTGTGTGTGTGTGTGTGTGTGTGTGTGTGTGTGTGTGTGTGTAACCAAAGCTTGCACACACTAGACTTCTGCCTTATGGAATTGAAAATGAACAGAGAGAGAGATGGGAGGGGAAAAAAACAATTGTTTTTTCACATAGTGGGTCATTTATTCCAGATTTACTAAGATTGTTGAATTCATCAAAGTCAACCTTAACTCATCACTTACCCGTTCCATTAGTCCAGACTCTTAAAATGATAAAGGCTATAATGTAGGCGAATAATTCAGCAGAAAACTAAAATATAATGTTTTGATTTTCCCTGCCACAACTTAACTGTTTTAATTCACTCTCTCTGCTCTCATCGGTTTCGGTTGCAGCAGAAAACGCCGATGTACACAACCTGCTCAGCACCAAACAGCAGACAGACGCAGTTAGAGATTAGCTGGCGAACATAGTGGAGCATTTAGCAGCTAAAGAGAGATATTTCTGATATGCACAATCTTAAATTAATGCTAATGTTGCTCTCTAACTGCTGGATGTGTAATTAGAAAAACATTTTTTTATTTAAATTTCTGCTGTCTTTATCAGTTACTGTAGGTTTAAGCACATTTTGGTTGAAGTAAATATTAATATCCAATAACTAAAACAACTGCTTCATCTTGGTGCTGTTTAATCAGATTTGACTGCCAGTGGCAGAAATATCCAACATTAGAGCCCATCGCACTTCAAACAAGACAGTACACGACAATACAGAAACTTAGTCGGAGCATAGTGTGTTCATGTAGGACTTAATAAGTTTTACTGTCCTTTTAAATATGACATTTCTCACTTTCAGGTGGCAGTGAGAACTGGAGGAAAAGAGGAGAAACAACAGGAGGCCATCGACATGGAGGAGGATGGAGGGAGAGAGGGGAGGCAAGTGGAGACCCGAGTGAAAATGACAGCAGTGAGAGACTGTGGCAGAGAGGAGACCATTTCAACCCTCACTCTCACTCTTATCCTTACGGCCATGATAGAGGAGCCCAGAACACGAGGCGTCCTCAAATACAGTCCAGAGGTCGATCGTACCACAACAGAGGGAGATACAGGCCGGCTCCGAGGTAACATCGGTGTGGAACTAGATGTTCCTCCTCTTTTTTAATGTTTCGTCTGTTCTTATCTCCTCTATAATGTCACATTTCATCCCCTCCCCTCCTCTCAGATGGTCGCAGCCTCCTGCACCAGGAACATAACTCGACCCCGATTAGAGAGGAGAGAAGAGGAGGATTAGAGGGGAGGATTTGAGGAGTTAAGAGGATGGGAGAGATGTGATGAAAGCAGTGAAGGAATCAAATGTCTCTGAACAAACTGGTTAGTGAATTACCCGTCAGGAATGTTTGTCTAAAGGATGCAGTAAGTAGAGAAATGGGGATTAAGAGATGGCGGCATGAAGAGATAAGGAATCGTCATTTAATTTGCCATTTTAACCTTAATTTGTCGTTTTTTTGTGCATCTCAAAATAATCCGGTAGACATACTTTAATAGTAAAATCCTTTTAAAGCCTCTCCTTTATATCAGGGAAACTGACCTGTTTTAATGTGACAAAGAATGTACAGTTCGCATCAGCACTCACCAAACAAACACAGAAATGAGCTACTTCAAACATGCACTGAAGTAGATCAATAGTTAATCCCCGAGCCTGTTTCACCTCTTATCTTTGACAATAAAAGAACAGAGATCTTAAAAGCTGTGTGTGTCCAGTGGTATAATCCTTTTAAAGGCATGGTTTTAACTAGAGAAACAGTAATGCAAGTATCAAGTATCAGCTAAAATAGGCCGTCAGCGCCGGAGATTTATACACCTCTGTAAGGTGATGCCAAGAGCCGTTTGTGACACGTCAAAAACAAAGTGAGGCAACTTGAGTGTTTGCTTTTTTCATACACAGAACAATGTGAGTTGTCTGTAATGGATACTAATAGAGAAAGATGTTTATATGTTAAACTGTTTTGTACTGAGTCCTGAGTAAAGTAAACATGACCGAAATTTGTTGTCTTAAAAATCCCAGAACCAGATTTCACACCATGTGACAATGACATTTAGAGTATTGAGCGTGTTGGGATCAAAATGACGTGTGTGTGTGTGTGTCTGTGTGTGTGTGTGTGTGTGTGTGTGTGTGTGTGTGCGCGTGTGGGTGTGTTTGTTGGGTTGATGATGAATGTATAGCCTTTACAGCAAGGCTGACAGATTGTCTTCCTGTAGCACAGTGAATGTCGTAAAACTTACCAGAGAGGAAAAGGATGCAGAGAAAGTTCCACAGCCTGAGTGCTCTCATTTCTGTGTGTGTGTGTGTGTGTGTGTGTGTGTGTGTGTGTGTGTGCGCGCGCCTATAAGCGGTAAAGAAATGTGAGAGTGAATTTCTCAACAAATGAGGGGAAATCGGAGTGTTGATACAGTGATGTGAGACGGTGTGACAGAGCGGAGAGTTACATCAGTTTTTTCTCCTGTAGTTCAATGATACACGCATTATACAGTAACACATACAGGACTATTTGGTAGTGGTTTTATAAGCCCTCAGACTTAAAAAAACACTCAGCACATGGACTGGGTTTGAGATAGTAATCTTTTATGTTGTGTATCAATCTTATGTGATGTGTTACTGTGGTGTGTTGCTTTTTAGAGGGAATATTTGCCTTTTTATAGTTGTTTTTGTAATTCTATGATTACTTACATTCTAAAATTCAATATAAAAGAATTAAAAACATCAACATGGATCAGTAAACATCGTTGCATGAAACTTTGTTTCCCGTAATCTCTACAACGGAGGTGAGTTAGCTTGTCCCATAGATTCACAATTGCCACATCTATGGGGATCACCCAAGTTGAAATGTCCTTAATGTTTCCTTTTGTGTGACTCCATCATATACATTCTATATACAGTATTCTGTTTAGGTATAGTGCCAGAGCAATGTGTCATTTTCACAAGTGATGTACAGTGTAAAACATTCAGTAAATGTACAGAGTTGAAATTGAACAAGAGAGGAATTGAACAACTCATTGATTATGAGTTTTCTAAGGGGATGTGATCAAAGCATCCCCTCCCCGTCTCCCCTCTCAGTCCAGAGGCAGCAGAACAAACATCAGAGCGTGTGTGTTTTTAGGTTCGTAACTGTGGTGAGTGGAGTGGTAGTGTACATGAGGAGGGGCGACAAGGGTGGGGCACGCAACACACATACATGAGTCGGGTCCAGTTGCCCCTTCTACATAATAACAATAACAGGAGGAGGGATGTTTTCTGTGGTGAATAGGAAGCGAGGGATGGAAAGTTAAAACGGGAGAGAAAAAAACAAAGTGGAAGACGGAAATGAAGGAGTTTAAAGGAGAGATGAGACGTAAACATTGAGAATAGGAAGACGTGGAGCGGAGGAAACGCAGCCAGAGGAGTGGGCTATGGAGAGGTGGAAGACTAAGAATAGAGAAAACTACAGAAAACAGGATGAGAGTGGAGAAAAGCCAGGAGGTGGATTTAGAGTAGAGGAAAGGGTAAGACAGAAGAGTTAAGAACACCAGCAATTTGAGTCAGTAGTCCTGCTTCAACCACAGGAAACCCTGTTGGCTGCCTGACAGATCAGCTTCCTGCGTGTGTGTGTGTGTGTGTGTGTGTGTGTGTGTGTGTGTGTGTGTGTG